ACTGATGGCGCCGGCCCCACTTGCACCCACTTACAGCGCAGAGCGATTGGGGCTGGTGCCAGCAGCGGGTGCAAGTGGGGCTAGTGCCATCAGTGGGCTGCTGCCCTGATCGCCCCTCAGGAGTAGGTGGAGGTGGAGAAGCCCTCAGGGGCAATCGGGGCCAGCAGCTGCAGCTCACATCTGCTGACAGTGCTGAGTGATTGGGGCCGGTGCTGGGCACCAGCAGCAAGTGCAAATGCCGAGTGGGACCATGTTGTGTGGGAGCAAAGAATTTGCAGTAACCACCAGACTCACCTAGATGACAGCGGACAGCGCCCCACCTTGGTCTGGCGCTGCTGCTCACCTGCTCCACCATCCTGCCATGACTGACACCCACCATGTTCCGCACACCCCCTGGTGGTCAGCACACATCATAGCGACCGTTTGTTCAGTTGTTCTGCCATTTGGCCTATTTGCATATTAGCCTTTTATTATATAGGATGTCCTTACAGGGCAACAAGAATAAATAGTTAACATAGCAATAAGTTAAAACTACAAGAAACTAAATTTGGCAAAAAAGTACAAGAAAGTTAACTGGTGCCAGTTTATGCCTTTTTTATTTTTTTAAATCTCTTCGATGTGTTTTTTTTTTCTTCCTTTTTTGTTGTTTTTCCCTCTTCTGTTTGTATTTTTTGTTGCTTTTTAAATTTTTTCTCTTTGTTCCTTGCAGCAGAAGCTCCACAGATGTTTAATAACAAACACCAGGGAGGGTGGGGAAAGAGAGCTGGGCAGTAAGATGGGGCCATGGCCAGACACCAATGCAGGACACCGGAGAAAGGTCAACTGAATCTAAAATCGGGGTTTGCAATTTTCAGTTCTGAGGGGGCCCACTGTGAGGGGTCGGGGCTGCAAGGGCTCCCGCCTTGGGCTTCTGTTGGAATTTTTTGTCACAAAGAATGAAAATTAGGGGGATGGAAAGTCCAGACAGAAGCCAGGGCTGGGGCTTGGGATGGGAGCTGTGTCCACTGCCCTCACTCATGGGAAGATGGAAAAACCCAACAAGCTAAAAGGGGTGACAAGTGGATGGGAAGGAAAGGTGGGGCTGGGACCCTGGGCCTGTCCACACTGGGCCTGATGGGGAGGCCCTAGGTTGGGGGAGGCTCAGAGCTTGGCCTCATGGGCCAGGGCATGGGGGCAAGAGGCTCAGCCCCACGGACAAGGGGTCCTATGGCCTCAAGCATTGGGAAGTGCTGCTTCCAGCCCACCATGATGTCAAAAGTGAACAAGGTATCATATGTCTGGATGCAGGATGCTGTGTGCACATCTGTGTTCATGGGCGGCACGGACCACTGATGAACCAGAAGAGAGCTGTGCAGAGACCCCGGGGCAGGGGCGAGTGGGGCTGGGTGCCGGGAAGGGCTGGGCGCCTGGGTCCAAGGGAACTGTGGGCGTGTCTGTGTGTTCCTGGGTGTTAGTGACAGCTCTTTATTGATATTGAATCTCAAATAGCTTTTGGGCCCTGGCTGGTGTGGCTCGGTGGGTTGGGTGTTGTCCCATGCACTGAATGGTTGTCAAATGATTCCCGGTTAGGGCAGGAGCCCAGGTTGGAGGGGCTTGTGGGAGGCAGCTGACCCATGCTGCCCTTTCACACCATTTGTCTCTCCCTTCCTCTCTTCCTAAAAATCAATAAAACTGCTCTTTAAAAAAATACCGTTTGACACTGGCCAGTTTGGCTCAGTGGATGGAGTGTCGGGCTGTGGAACGAAAGTCCCAGGTTCAATTCTGGTCAAGGGCACATACCTTGGTTGCAGGCTCCTCCCCAAAACAGGCCCTGGTCTGGGGGTGTGCAGAAGGAACCAAGCAATGTGTTTTTCTCACATCGATATTTCTTTTCCTCTCCCTTCCACTCTCTCTAAAAATCAATGGAAAATATCGAGGATTTAAAAGAAAAAAAAAAAAAAGCTTTTTTTGGGTCACTAGTAGTGAAATGATGACTACCTTTTTTACCACACATCGTGTATATTTTGTGGGGCTCAACAAAACAACTAAAAGCACCTCCCTGACCCCACCAAGTCTCTGGGCTGTGACAGGAGGAAGGACATACTGGGATCTGTGCTCAGAGGGACACTGTCCATTGGTCAGCGCAGGTTAACTCAGCTCCTTTGGGTCTGTGTTGCAGGGATCATGCACCGCAAGTTGTGTGCATGGTTGGCAGCCTGCCTCATCACCTTGGCTGGGTATGACATGCTGATAAGAAATTTAGATAGTTTGGCTCCTGGGTAGAGGAAGGATTGGAGGGAGTCATAAACAAGACCAGTAAGGGGGCTACAATAATCCAGGCAGACTCCATGTGGCAGAGCAATGCAAGTTCTAAGGAACCCTGTTTAACTCAGGCAGAAAACAGGAGAGGAAAAAACAGGTTCAGAAAGCAAGGCCATTGTAGTACTATTTCAGGGGCACCATTAACATTTATTCTATGAAAATGGTACTCCCTGAAACACAACAACTATGAATGGTGGCCCCTGCAGTTGTGCACTGTGGCAGTCCTGTTGGAAAGGTTACAGCATGGTAGATAATGGAACTGATCCCTACCTAAACCCCTGTGCATTTCCTACTATACCAGGCTATGGCTTATGACAGTTTATTTATGGATATATAGCATAATTAGGGGATAAACACAGAATTAAAATAATGAAACAGATCAAACATATCCCAATAAGGGTTTTCACAAGAACCGGGTAGGCTTATTAAAAGTAATTTAATGGAATCCTACAAAACTAGTTATTTAACAAGTCAAGGTGCTTGATGTATTCTTAAATCATTGCTAATAGGAAAAACAAAGGTAAAACAAAAGGTAAAACAAAGGTAAATATAAGGTCCCAACTATTTACTTTGAGCTTCCCCAAAATAGATATATGAGAAGCTTTACAAAAACTGAAAATACTAACCACAAGAGACCACAAATTAAAGTTTTTTTTTCCAGAGAGACATTTCTTGAATTATCCCAAAAATTTAAGGTGAATTTCCCCCAGAAAATGCTTTTATAGTTATCTTGGCAATAAATACATAACCTTGGCAAAAGTACATATTTAGTAACTACTTCATATTATTTTTTAAAAACTATGTAATTCTTATTTATGCCAAGCACACCACAACTTACAAATGTTTCATCCATATTCTCACCTATGCCTACTCACTCTGAAGGAATATTTCTTTGGGCTGAGTCAGGATCTCAATATGCTTTGTCCAGGAAATGGAAGGTATGAAAATACTTTTAAAAACAATTATTTGGCCCTAACTGGTTTGGTTCAGTAGATAGAGTGTCGGCCTGAGGACTGAAGGGTCCCAGGTTCAATTCCAGTCAAGGGCATGTACCTTGGTTGCGGGCACATCCCCAGTAGGGAGTGTGCAGGAGGCAGCTGAATCCATGTTTTTAACTCTCTACCCCTCTCCCTTCCTCTCTGCAAAAAATCAATAAAATATATTAACACCCCCCCCCCCCCCCAATTATTTCTTTACCCTTGAGGCATGGCTCAGTTGATGACCATCCATCTATCAGAGTTTGATCCCTGGTCAAGGCACATGCCCGGGTTGTGAGCTTGATCCCCAGTAGGGGGCATGCAAGAGGCAGCTGATCAATGATTCTCTCATTATTGATGTTTCTATTTCTCTGTTCATCTCCCTTCCTCTCTGAAACCAGTAAAAATATAAAAACAAAACAACAAACAATACTGGCTTATTGCACAGAAGAAAGACCAGCCATTAGGAGTTGTTATCAGGATAAAATGAAACACTGACCAGAGGAGCTCCTTTGGGTGAGTAGTTAAAATGTGATTAAAAGGGAAAAAGAGGAAGAAGAATATATCACAGAAAGGCTTTATGGATATTGATAAAAACAGATTATTTCTAAAAAGATAAAATCACCTTGAGAATTTTCAAAAATAAGATTCACAGAACTGTTGGAGTAGAAGAAACATGAAGATTTAGAAACATCTTATTTGACTAATGATGAATTTCAGACTAATTAGGCAACCTGCCCAGAGCCACTAGTTATTGCCAGAGTCTAGACTCTAGATAAAGGCCCAAGTCTCTTGTGTTCCAGATGAATGTTCCCTTTTTCCTTCGCTATACTACTCATCTCTTACATATTCCTAACCACTTGATGCCCACCCTAACCCTGTCTGCCCCACAATGTGTCCCTTAGGGACAGTCAGAGGAACAGGACTATGTAGACCATTTAGAATAACAATGGATGAAATATTATTTCAAATAATGACTGGGCTAAAAATTCATTTAGGGGTCGGGAGCAGAGGGGAAATACAAAAGAAAGAAATTCTGCAGACAATAACAATAAGAGAAGCACAAGAGGAAATATCCTCTTTTGTTATTTTATTACTGTTATTTTATTTTGTAGTTAAGACCATATATTATATAAAACATAACAGGAAAATGAAACAAATTTATAAAATAAATTGAGGTGTCTGGATGATAAAACACAAGAGCTTTGTCTTCATGTTTATAGATATCTTGATAAGTGGTTGGTCTTTCACTTTAGATATCAAATAAAGATATCTAGCTTGAAACAAAGTTGATATGCTGCGAGATTAAGCTATACTTAGTTTGATGGTGGGTCAGGAAATGATAGATTTTCTAGATCTTACCCTTAAATATTGGCTATAACAAATGCTGATATAACAAAATACAAGCTTTTATCCTTAGACAGCAAGAGGGAAACTTGAATGAATGAATGCAACTTACCTCCAAGTCCTTTGAAGGGAGGTGAAAAATAAATACTGTGTTTTACCAGTGTTCTTCCCAAAGCATTACTCTAATAAGCATGCAGGAGGATGCTGTGAGCAGCTATAAGATCCAATCTAGAGGTAGGTTCAAGGCCAGAGTAGGAGAGTATTTGAAGAAATCCTCCCCAGGCTGGTAACACTTCATAGAATGCCCTTTTGTGCTGGGGGATGAGTCTATGGCCTATTTTTATCTGATTCAAAAGGACATTCCCAATTTCAACCTTGTTTAAAAAAAAAAAAAGAGGCATTTTTGTACCTGCTATTATGAACAGCTAGGATACAGGATAAGGCTGACATAAAATTATTTAGCAAGCACATGCTAGCTATTCCAGTTTGAAATCTACCAAACTGTAAAATCAAGAGGGGAATAAAAAGTTGAAGGTGGAGCTCTTATTCCTCAAGATAAGGGAACAAAGTCTTAAAAAAGAGAGATTAGGCACTCACTTAACTCTATATGGAGAACATCCTTCTGAGGCTAGTTGGGGTATGAGGAAGAGCATTACCAATGGCTGACAATGCCATTTGGAGACCAAAAGGAGAGGAAAAAAGGCATTTAGGAAGCAAGTTCTTCTGGGTCTGACTAGATAAGTGAATCTAAGGCAACTGCACCAAAGACATGCTACCCATTACGCCAGCAGAAGCTGGTGAAAACATTTCAAGACATTTTAAACCCAGAGAAATGTATGAAAAATATGTTAACCAAGCAAATGAAAACCAAACCTCCAAGGATAAAAATCTCCTCAGATTTGAAATCCAAGATACTCACTTTTCATTAATTCTGTGCATTAATAGAAAAAATAAAAAGTAACAAATGTAAAGATTTGTTTTATTTCTACTGGGAAAAGAGGAGGATAAATAGAACTGTTTTCCAATTTGCGCTCCACTGTGTACACACATACCCACACGCATACAAAAAAATACACACACACCAAAAATACCCCAAACAAAAAAAACAAAAAGAAAACAAGAAAAATCAAAACACCCTCAAACTGCACCAATACTTTGGATTTTGACCAAAAGAATAGATCCTGGGAGGAAGTGCAAAATGCAAAATCAAATGACCGAAAATGCTGAACAAACAGCATTATTAATATACAAAATATTATATTACTGAACTAGTAACAGTTGATGTTCTCCGTGTCTGTAAAACTTTGGAACCACATAGCTGATTTGTTAAATCTAGTCCATGCCAACTTCCAAAAACCAGAAAAGATTTTAGTTAGCTTCATTCTTTGATGCCTCATCAAAATTTTCTACAAGATCTGGAAAAAAAAAAAAAAAAAGTAAATGAGTTAAAGATACAAAAAAAAAGAGGTAAATAAAATTCCTAACTTCTAACCCCAATAAAACAAAGTTGTTGCTACTAGAATCAGTCTGAAAATACACAGGACAAGGAACAGAAATGAATTGGTGGCATTTCACTAATAATGCTTCATTTATCTGCTTAAACAGTAACCCAAAGGAAATTTTAGTCTTGTCTATACATACTAAGGTGAACAGCATTTCCAGATGTCAATCATAATTTCCACAGAAATATTATAACAATAGCTATACGAATTTATAATCACAGTGATTCCAAATTCATATGCAGGCAGCAAAGGTGTGTGTGACAATTTCTGATTCGAAGTTCTAACTGAGAGGGCTTTCATTCTTTTTCATTAGGTCATATCCACATCACTGTGAATGAATATTCACAAGCCCACCAGCAACAACGAACTGTAAGTCTCTATGCAGTGAATGAATGCGGTCAGCAGTATGTTAAAAATCTTAAAACTACAGAAATGTCACTTACCTGGAACATCATCATCTTCCTCATCAATGTCTTCTGGTTTTGGTGCTTTGCTATCCAACACTGCAAAAATTTTATTTTAAAATTAGTCACTGAGAAAAAAGACATGTACAGATACTTTATATTTTCTTCATGTCTAAATCTTACTAAAAAGTAAAATATTATATAATCTAATGCCATATTTTTTACTTAATACTAAAATCAATAAAACTGTAACTTCATTGGACATACCCTAAATACAGCTGGCTATTTCAATGGGCACTGCATGTAAAACATATAAAAATGGAGTAATGCAGATTAGTTTGAATAAAAAGACATAGTTAATTTATTCTCCAAATTAAAAAATCAACATTCAAGAATTTTTTCATCTCCTTTGGTATAAGAAAGTATCTATCTATGCAGTATGAGCACTGAAATAATAGGCTGTTTGAGGCCCAAATGGCATGGCTCATTGGTTGAGTGTCAAACTATGAACCTGGAGGGCACGGGTTCCATTCCTGATCAGGGCACATGCCTGGGTTTTGGGCTCAATACCCAGTAGAGAGCATGCAGAAAGCAGCCAATCAATGATTCTCTCTCATCATTGATGTTTCTATCCCTCTCCTTTCCTCTCTGAAATCAATAAAAATATATTAAACAAAACAAAACATTTTTATTAAAAAAAAAAAAAGACACATATGAAACCAAAACTATTTTGGAAATTCAGAATGTTTGGTTGCTACATTTATAGTACAATCAATAACACTAAACAAAAATATAATTCTGTGATAGCACTATGTGTTTTTTTTTCAATTGTATGGATAAGCATTTTATTCATATATCTCAACTGCATTTTTTCCAGGATATAAAATGTGATAGAGCAAACTCAAGGACGTGGGACTCAAATGACAATGGGGCAAAATTCAGAAACTGTTGCCTTTAAAGTTATGTTAATGATCATACTTTAATAAAGTGTTCATTATGCAGAACTTCTTTTCCCTTCTGTTTGGCCACCTACACACTCCATTTCTCAACCATAGAAGTAAATATGTCTAAAATCGGTGCTGGTTTTGATTAGCAATAGTGATGACATTAGCCTGAGTTCCAGCTCCTGGAAAGCAGAACTGTGATGATGCAGTGACTTGTGGCAGTTAGGTCCCAATGTAACTCTCCTTGTCACCACACATCATCAATGATTTTGAGCCAAGACTTGTGCTCTAAATATAATACACCAGTTAAACACAGGTGTTCTGGAATACCTGCTCTGTCAAACGAAGGGGATGGTGGGAGGGGAAAAGGAACTATGATTCTATCTTTAAATACAATAGATTTAAAACTATAAATGGTGCAAAACAATGTCAATGTATTTAATATCACTGAACTATACACTTAAAATGGTTAAAATGGTAAGTTTTATGTTATGTATATTTTACAACAATTTAAAAAGAAAACCTGTATGTGTGTGGGTTCTGAAAACTATGTCCATGGGTTTCATCAGTTTTCACAACTGTCTAATAACTTTCCAGGTCCAACATGTAATCTGTTATACCTCTTTTTGCAATATAACTCCTATTAAACCTGCCTGCTTGAGGCCCCGATAAGTCTCCACCATCAGGAATTAGTAAAAAGCACTTATCCACAGAAATCTCCAGCTAAAATAATATAGAGGAAAGTATGATGGAAGAATGGGTGTTAGACAAGAAGCCTGTGGAAAAGTCACTTGCTCCCAGACTGTGCATCTTTCTAGGAAGCACAGAAACCCCTACCTCCTATCCCACGACTGGCCTTGTCCCCAGTCCTGAATAGTAGCCACAAGGGAAGTAAAGGCTGGTTGGCAGGAGTTACAAGGCCTCAGGGTCACACTGATTAACTGTCAGTTCCACCACTTTCTAGAGGATCTGGCACCACTCCAAACAGCTAAGGCTGGCTGCAGCCACAAGTGGGTCTTCACTCTTGCCTCTAGTATAGTCTGCAAGTAAGGTTAGTGTGGGCTGTGCTGAGAGAGTACACAGCAGTTCAGAAGCTGCAAGAGGGCTGTGCCTGTCTATAGTCACAGGTACAGGATTTTGCACTAAAAACTGCCTTAACGAGAGAGGTATCCTATATAATAAAGAGGTAATATGCAAATTAGCCCTCATAAGATGGCTGCCTATGACCAGGCCGGCAGGGGGATTAGTGAGGGACAACCAAACGACTGAACAAGCAGGCTGCGTGGGGCAACCAGGCCGGGAGGGAGGTTAGTGAGGGGCGACCAAACAACTGAACAGCAGGCTGTGTGGGGCGACCAGGCCGGCAGGGGAGTTAGTGAGGGACGACCAAATGACTGAACAGCAGGCTGCGTGGGGCGACCAGGCCGGCAGGGGGAGTTAGTGAGGGACGACTAAATGACTGAACAGCAGGCTGCATGGGGCGACCAGGCTGGCAGGGGGGAGGGCAGTTAGGGGAGACCAGGGACCAGGCCGGTGGGGGGGAGGGGAGGGGGAGTTGCAGTTGGGGGTGACCAGGCCGGCAGGGGAGGCAGTTGGGGGTGAACAGGCTGGCAGGGGGGCAGTTACGGGCAACCAGGACTATGGGGGGGGCAGTTAGGGGTGATCAGATTGGCATGCAGAGGCAGTGAGGGGCGATCAGGCCGGCAAGGGGGAGGGTCAGTTAGGGGCAACCAGGCAGGCAGGTGAGTGATTAGGAGCCAGGGGTCCTGGATTGGAGAGGGTGCAGGCTGGGCTGAGGGGACCGCCCCCCCACCCCCATGCACGAATTTCATGCACCGGGCCTCTAGTTTCAAATAAGGGGAAAACTCAGAGCCACAGGCTACAGTTGTCATTGACATTCTGTTTATAATACACCCAGGAGAAACCTCTATCTCTGCACATGACCTAAAATCAAACTTGGGTATCCTCTTACTCTCTCCAATTAGATTGTGTGCTCCCTGGTGGTCTTTATGTGTGTACTAGAGGCCCGGTGCACAAATTCCTGCACAGGTGGGCTCCCACGGAGTGGCTTGCAGGGATCAGGCCAAAATCCAGTCCAACGCCACCCACAGCTCCTACCTGCCGCTCCCGCTCATCCCAACTGCCTCCACTGTGCCTGCTGCGGGTTCATGCCCAATTAGTCCCAATTGGGAGAAGCTCATGCTGCCACAGCAGCGCTTGCCAGCCATGAGTCCTGCGTCTGGCGCCCTCCCGAGGGGAGTGGCCTGCAGGACTGGGCTGAAACCAACTCTCCGACATCCCCCAAGGGGTCCTGGATTGTGAGAGGGTTCAGGGCAGGCCAAGGGACCCCACCAGTGCACGATCGGGTCGGGGGAGGGACCATAGGAGAGCTCCAGGGTGTGTCCGGCCCATCTCGCTCAGTCCCGATCAGCTGGACCCCAGCAGCAAGCTAACCTACCGGTAGGAGCATCTGCCCCCTGGTGGTCAGTGCACGTCATAGCATCTGGTCGACCGGTAGACTGTCTGCCCCCTGGTGGTCAGTGCACATCATAGCGAGCAGTTGAGTGGCCTTAGCATATTACGCTTTGATTGGTTGAACAGTTGACCAGTCACCGGACACTTAGCATATTAGGCTTTTATTATATGGATAACCAAAATCTAACACAATGCCTGGTACAACACTATGTTCTTGCTGCCATTAATCAGAAGTATCAATTGACTTTATAAAATGTGGCCTGAAGATCCTGGCATGTACCTTTTAGGTTATTACTTTCAACCAAAATGTATTCATTTACTTTCAACCAAATGTATCCTTATGCCACACTGCATAATTATTAAAGAAACCAACTAAAAAGTGTATGAAGCTACAAGTAATATTATAAAAGTAAAATATACATAAGGCAAATTCTTCTAGTAATGTGACACCTTTAAAAATCATTAGGTTCTTTAAGGTGGGGAAGAAAAGAAGTACTAAAATGAAATACCTACCTTGCCGAGGGAACTGTTCAGCTAACTTCCTAAGGCTTGTTAAGCTGTCAGCACCAAGCTGACTTAATATTCCAGGAAGCATTTCTGTGATTGGTTTGGCTTCTGCATGACCGGTAATTGCAAAGGTGTTAGCAGAAAGGGAAGCTTGGACTTTGGGATTGTTGAAATGAATAACTGTTCCATCATCTTTAATCATATTTACCTGTATGAACACAAAAGAAAATGTACTTCACAAAATAGGTACAACTAAAACAGTACCTTTTAAAAAAACAATTTAGCCAATTATGTTGTTTTTAGTTGGTAGTTATGCATTGCAAAGGTAGTAATTATCTAAGTAGTGGATATGGGTGGGAAAAGACCCTAGCAACAAAGTAAAATGGTGTAGATAGCACAAATTACTAGGATGGTCAAAGAATCTAGATTTTAAATTCAGACTTCTACTATGAGAAAGAAATTCATACCCACATTAAAAAAAAAAAGTAATAATGAGCCCAGAACTGGCTTCTTAATAGCCATTATCTTACTCAGTTTACACTATCAAACTAAATTGGTACAGATACCATTTGGTAGCCTCTTACTTAGGGGACAGGTTGTAATGGGGTAATAGTGTATGGTAAAAATAACCACTGAAAATCCATAAAGAACACTCAGAAATTTAATCGATCAGGTGTTTCATTCCTTTGAACACAGTAAATTTATAAAATTTTCAACTTGTTATCATCATGTGATTCTCTGTGGAGGATTTTATCAGTTCCTCTAATTCTTAAGTGCTGCTTCTCAATAACCTTCAATAACCTTGTAAATGTGAAAGAAGCTCTCCCACCCACTGGCCTGGCCACCTGAACATGCTTATCAATTACTGGGATGTGGGGAGCCAATATAGGGTTAAGCCTCGGACTGACCTGTTGGCAAAGTCACAAACAAGTCTTCTTCCAAGCCTTAAACAACCCAATCCGAGAGGTGGCTGCTGATTTACATGCACTGTCATTTAAAAAATAAAAATAGGGGAACTTGCCGGAAGCTGGTCCACCCTTGCTGCTTAACACAGTTGCTGCAGGGAAGAAACATCTTCACAGCTTATGTTTCAAGGGAACTGGCATATATGGCATATGTTTGCTCCCCCTCTTAGGGCTATGTGTTTTAACCAGGACACCTCTCCTAGAAAGGTTGTTTCCCCAGGTGGGGATGTTTTCCCTGGAGTTAGGGATTAACAGGACTAAGGAAGGGAATAAATCCGTAAAACCCTTTAACTAAGTGCCAGGCGGGTAGTTAATCACTTTAACTACGAACAATCACACTTAAGCTACATAATCTTTACTTAGGATAATCTCCTTCAGTTACTTCCTTGTAGCTTAATAGAACAATAGAGTAACCTTGGAATGGAGATAAGAAACACCCTAACCTTTGGAATAGAATGGATAGGATTAAAATCAACTGGTATAAATACAGATGTAACAGAACAATAAAGACCGAACCTGGCTAGAGAACCTGGCTATGCTGATCAAATGAACGCTGTCTCCCTGTCCTTCCTTCATTCTTTGCTGACTCTGTCCACACCTTTGGGAACCCCTGGACCTGCTGGGGATGGACCCCAACACTGGGAAACCTTTAAAGCCATCCTCACATTCTTTCTATATGAACTGACTATTTGATTTGATTTAATCCATAGCCTGAGTCTTATTGAGAAGGAAGGTTGAGCATGTGCTATTTAAAATGTTATTTTTCTCTCACTTGTGCACTTTCTGTTTTAGCATTGAATTTGCATACGTTAAGTGTGTAAAGAATGTGCTTCCACTATGTAGTTGACTCCACTGGGTAAGTTACCTTGGTGGTAACATGCTTATTATATAAAAAGGTTAGGAGAGTTAACTCTTGGCTACTTTAGATGCATTTCATGATCCATCCAAAATCAAGCAGAGATGCTGAGTGTTCTCCATGGTCAGTGGAAGTGGGCTTTTCTTCCTCAGAGGTGATCACCACCACTAATAGACAGCACCAGAAAGGTAGGGGAAGAAAGGGGTGTCTAAATTTCAGGCAAGACCTGAAACACAGAGAAAATAAAGGCAAATTCCCTGGAAAACTATAACTTAAACCCACAAATAATTTCCCAAAATATGTTTTTCTGACAAAAATCACGATTTCAATTCTATACCCTTCCCTCTCAGTATTGTAGTTAAGGATTTATTTCATATATATATTAGAGGCCCAATGCACAAAATTCATGCAAGAGTAGGTCTTCCTTCCCCCGGCTGCTGGCGCTGGCTTCCTTCCAGCACCCGGGACCTGGGCTTCCCTCTCAGCCTCGGCTTCGTCCAGGTCATCTGGAAGGACATCCAGTCTAATTAGCCTATTACGCTTTTATTATTATACACACACACAAACACACACACTAAAGGCCTGGTGCATGAAAATTCGTGCACTGGGGGGGGGGGGGGGGGGAGGGGATGGTTCCTCAGCCCGTCCTGCCCCCTCTCACAGTCCGGGAGCCCTCAGGGGATGTCCTACTGACAACTTAGCCCCGCTCCCCGTGGGGATCGGGCCTAAGCCGCAGTCTGGCCTCCCTCTGCGGGAGGCAACTGGCCAATGAGGGAAAGGCGATGTCCCCATCATGCCTCTGATGCTGCCACTGCCGGCTGCTGCAGCTGCCTGAGCCTAGGCCCGGCCCTTGTTGTCTGAGCCTCAGGCTGGTCCTGGCAGCGGCAGCCGCTATCCGTGGCCTGTCTGAGCCTTGGGCCAGCAGCAGCAGCCTCCATCTGCGGCCTGCCTGAGCCTTGGTCAGCCGCTGTGGCTTTGTCCAGAAGATGTCTGCCCTAATTAGCATATTACCCTTTTATTAGTATAGATTAGTGGCCTGGTGCATGAAATTTATTCATGGGAGGGAGGGTGTCCCTTAGCCTGGCCTGAACCCCCTCCAATCTGGGACCCCTTGGACATCCCTCTCGCAATCCAGTACCGCTGGCTCCTAATCTCTCACCTGCCTGCCTGCCTAATTGCCCCTAACCACTCTGCCTGCCGGCCTGATAGCCCCCAACTGCCCTCCCCACCCCCCCACCAGCCTTCTCACCCCTAACCGCCTCTGCCTCGGCCCTACCACCATGGCTTTGTCTGGAAGGATGTCCAGAAGGTCTCTTGGTCTAATTAGCACATTACTCTTTTATTAGTATAGATTACACACAGTAAGCAAACCAGAACTTGAACTTGGGTGTCTTAACTTTCTGTTTAGTTTCCTTCCTATGGTGTCATTCACATTCTTAAAATGTTTATTTACTTATAAAAATTCAATTCTGTGGTCCTATGAACACTTGCTAGAGAATTATTTATCTCAGAATATAGGCTCAATGTAGAATGCAAAAGGAAAATAGCACAGATATGTGGATAATATATATCTTCCTCGTTTATAAAATAAATAAGAGGCTAACCCAGGGCCAAAAAGAATAAACATTCATGAGTTTTCCCTCTGTTCAAGCTTCTTTTACAAGTGCTAAATGTTAAGTCATATTTTACATCCTGATGTAGGTCTTTGTAGTCTGAAATACATTGTTTGAGTTTAGTGTAGAAAGCAAGATGAATTCCACCTCAGACTGTGAAATGGAAATAAATTTATTAATGGTTGTTTAAAAAATGTAGTTTCATGAATAAAAAGGTCCAGAAAGGGGTGGAGAGTTTAGTTAATTTTAGAAGAGAGAGGATAAAATACTAGAAGTTAAATAGGCCAAAATATTTTGTTTCTATCTAACATTCCTTCCTCTCTACTGAGCAAATGACAGTTGTATAAGGCTCCTAGACACAAGCTATTAGAAACTATCAAAGGATGAAATTGTTGGGCTGATTAGTTAGACACCTCCCCCACCCTTTTAGAGGTAAAAGAAGGGCTAAGGAATCTGTTAAATTCACAAAGCAAACTGCATGTATTTTATATGGAGAATTGACTTTCTCCAGCAATTTTACTGATGTTTGGTCTAAATAAGTCATATAATCTACATACAATATAACAGGGGTCCTCAAACTTTTTAAACAAGGGGCCAGTTCACTGTCCCTCAGACCGTTGGAGAGCCGGACGATAGTTAAAAAAAAACTATGAACAAATTCCTATGCACACTACACATATCTTATTTTGAAGTAAAAAAACAAAACGGGAACAAATACAGTATTTGTATTTGCATGTGGCCCGCGGGCCGTAGTTTGAGGACCCCTGCAGTATAAGAACAAGGAGTAGACAAGTAAACAAAAACTATTATGACTTTAGCACTTAATAGCTACTATACCCTTTCTCAATTAAATAGCTCCTTTATATCAAAATGTGTTTTTTTTCCCACTTAACAGGTAGTTGAAAGGATGCTACTTGAACAATGGAGGAGGCATTTTTGAGACCCCAGTCCAAATGCCCTTGCTCTTATTTTTGGTTTTAACAATATGGACACACTGTGTATTTACCAGGAAATATTTTGTCCTTTCATACCTAGTGCATTTACATATGCAGTTTTCACTTTTTAGAAAAACCTTGTCCTGCTTTCCACCTTGTAAATTCTCATTCAGCCAAGTCTTGGGTCAGATGCTCCTAAACTTAAGGTGATTTATGCACATTCTTTACTTTGTGGGTATGACAACTAAATAGAATTGTCGTAGTATAATCATGTTTGCAAGTTTTTACCTTATTAGAGATTAGAGGCCCGGTGCATGAGATTTGTATACTGGGGTGGTGGTGGTGGGGGGTTCCCTCAGCCCGGCCTGAGCCCTCTTGCAGTCTGGGACCACTTGGGTGATGTCCGCCTGCTGGCTTAGGCCCAATCCTCCTATGAATCATGCCTAAGCCGACAGTCGGACATCCCTCTCACAGTCCAGGGTTCTCGCAGTCCAGGACCCCTTGTTCCTTATCACCCGCCTGCAGCGGAGGCGGGAGAGGCTCTGACCACTGCCACTACACTCTCCAGCCGCAAGCCTGGCTTCTGGCTGAGCAGCACTCCTCCTGTGGGAGTGCACTGCCCCCACCAGGGGGAAGCTCCCGCGTGGAGCATCTGCCCCCTAATGGACAGTGCACGTCATAGCAACCAGCCGTTCTGCCGTTTGGTTGATTTGCATATTAGGATTTTATTAAATAAGATGAACTCCTTGATATCAGAGGCCATGCCTTACTAGACTTAGCAAGTATCCAGCAGATAAGAGTCACTCAAATTTGCTGAATGGACACCACCTATTCAATTT